ATAAAAAGGTAGTTTGATTTATTTTGTTTCCTTTTATAGTTTTAAAATGATAAAATAACATTAAAATCGTGTCATTAACAAGCTCCCCCTTTTTTCACATTGGCCTGAATTATGTATTAATCTATTCATTTAAAAAAATGGGGGCATAAGTGAGACTATTTTCACTTTTGCTATAAGAAAAACGGTTCAAAATTTTAGTTTACTGTGTTTGTCTCACTACAAACAAACTTAAATATTTTTGAAAATAAAGCACTCTTGAACCTGCTGCTGGCCATCGTGCTAAAAAAGTGGCCCTCTGATTGTAAAGAATGTAGCGGCTCAATGTAAAATGTAACGTCTCTTTGTTCTTTTTAATACTGTATAGAAAGGTTTATTACTTTATAAATCAAATAGTTCATTTAAATTTGAAAGACCTCCTGTGAGGGCTGGTGAAGCCTATATTTGACCTGCACCGTCATCACAAGAAAAAAATTGGCTCTGCAGGATAAAATGCAGTATTTTAGGATCCCACAAGATCTGTGAATTCTCTTCTAGTGTAGTGCATTTACTGCTCCTGTAATATTGGAGCTTAGATATTGGTATAAGTGTCTACTTGAGAATTGCTTATACTCAATCAAAATTATGCCTTTACTATTGGAATTTAAAACTTCAAGGGTCAGATCCAACTTCAATTGGAGTCCTTCCATTGGCTTCAGTGGATTTCAGTGGGAGTTGTGTTGGCCCCTGAACATGGCTGTGAGGGCTTCTTTCTCAAAGGAGCAAATTCCGGATGGCAGATATTTTGGGGGGAGGGGGAGGAACTACCTGTAGCCAGTTTCAGATGTTTAAATATTTTTTTCCATTGTAACTGCATATTTTAGCTCTCTTTGGAAGCTGTGAGTAGTTCAGGAGAACTTTGAGAGTCCTATCTTCTTAGTCAAAAACATTTTTTTAAATCTTTGTATTTTATGTTGTGCTATACACAAGAATACATGCCATACTTCATAGCAAAAGGGCTTAAGAATCCCAGAGACACCAGAGGCCAAATCATGAGGTCTTTCCTCCTTTTGTCTTAAATTCTTACTTAGATAAATTCCCACTGATTTATACTGATTTGAAAATAGAGTGTAGGCTTGAGGTAGATCCTAAACTTAGTCTCAGAATCTGAGAATTCCACTTGGTGCAGGACACAGATCTGATCAACAGTGAATTTCTTATTAGGAATATAACTGTCATACAATACTAGATTATATTTGTAGTTCATCTAGTTTAGTATCCTGTCTGTCAGTGCACATTAATAGATGGTTCAGAGGAAGGTGCAAGAAACCCTATAGTAGAAGATATGAAGTAATCTGCCTATGAGGGAAGTTTCTTCTTAACCCTCACCAGTTGCTTGACTTATGTCAAAACACATGAGGTTTTATATCCCTTCCAAGACTCTTATTGTTTATTTTAACCAGTATTAATATTAATATAACATGGGCTGTTTTTGCCTATATAAATTTCCAACCCTTTTTTGAATCCTGCTAAGCATGTGGCTTCAATGAACTCTTGTGGCAATGAATTTCACAGGCTAAGTTTGTGGTGTGTGGGAAAACTATTTCCATTTCTCAATTTTAAATGTGTTCCTTTTCAACTTCACTGAAAGTCCCTTTGCTCTGTGTTATGAGGGTGAATAGAAGGCCCAGTCTGCATTCCTTGTACATTATTTTTATACTTGTATTGTGTCTCATCTCTAATGGAAAAAGTCCAATTTTTTTCAGTCTTATCAATCTACATTTGCTGATATAAAAATATTTTCAGTACAGTGGTATACATGACAAATGAGTATAAAAAAATTATTGAGAAGTGCTACCACTTCTTAACAGAAATTGAGCATTCTGTTTTTCATTTGTAATGTCCGATAGTTGCTAACACACACTTTGAAACAGTTATTATACAGTATTTACAAAAAACTCTGATATGCTTCTTTATCATATATCATGTGACTTATTACTGTTATAAAACTTTTTTACTTTGTAGCTAATAAAGAAGAAGCTTGGAATTTCTGGGCATGTGCACAATTTAATGGCTGGATCCATGGCAGGTACAGATTTATTTTCACTTTCAAACACCACTTATTTTCAAAGGTAAATATTGGTTTAGGGCTTAGGTAGTGTTTCTTGAAATAAAATGCCACTGTAAGTCCATATACAACAAGAGGTCTACCAAAAGACTTGATAGGATGAATATTTCCTTTGGAAAAATTTGTTTTTAATTAAAATAAAACTTTAAAGAATGTAGCAACTTAAATTTTGATTGTGTAAAATCTTGTTAAAACAATATTTTTTTTAAACCCAAGATCATTAGAAATGCTTCCCCAAATATTTTTATAATTACACTGAAATCATCTGTTTTTAATCAAATAAACAGTACTCAAAGCATGAAAGTGAAAATAGATTAATTGATAATCATGTCCAAGCTGAGAGAAATATAAAGGAAAAATAGTGAGAAACAGGATTTTAAAAAATTAATTCACTTTTAATAATTTAAGGTGGTTTAGCAACATTTATTAAATACATTTCTTAATTTTCTTGATTTCTCTCAGCTGCTTAGGCATGTTTGATTTAATATATTTTTCTAGATAAGAGAGACTTCTATATGTCTGCCATGTTTGTGAAATGTACACCATTCACAAGAAGGACATTAAAAATAAAAATGCTCATCTGTTCTGCATTTCTAGTATGCATGTATGAAGAACCTGCTAATATAATTACAGTACTAAAACTGTACTCCTAAAGGGCATGTAAATTTTGATGCATAGTGTTGAAATTAATACCTTACCTTATGACAGTAAAATACAGTATCATACATATATAGTATAGAAAACGTTAAGTTGCAGTGCAGAATTGGCTCCCCAGCTTGGGTACCATAGATTCTAGTTCTAGTATGGGTATGGAAAGATGTTGGAAACCAACATGAAATGGAGACCCTATTTTACAAGAGGAGACTAGAAGAGCTTGGCTTAGTTAGTCTAGCAAAAAGAAGGCTGAGAAGGAATATGTTTGTTCTCTATAAAGACATCAGGGGGCATAAATCAAAGAGGGAGAACTATTTAAGTTAAAGAAAAATGTTGGCACAAGAACAAATGAGTTTAAACTGGCCATAAATAAAATTAGATTGGAAATTAGAAGAACGTTTTTAACCATTAGAACTGTAAGGTTCTGGAACAGCCTCCTAATAATATTAGTGGGGACAGACTCCTAATTAATTTTAAGATAGAGCTAGATAAATTTATCAGTAGGATTGTATGATGGGGTTGTGTGCTGAGATAGGGGTGAGAGGCTGGGCTTGGTGGCTCAGGGAGTATACCTTCTGATCCTATCTCTTATGTTCCTAAATCACATACTTCAGGATTTCAGCTTCACTTGCAGGGGTCAGATGAAAATTTTGTCCTCCCAATTTGTTTGTTTTTGTTTTTCCCTTTCCTCTAAAGCATCAAAGATGGCAACAGCTGGAGGTGGGACACTGGATGGGGTGGGCTGGTGCTCTGAGATGGTATAGAGAATCTTTTGTTTTAGATGCCTGGCTGGTGGCTCTTGCTCATGTGCTAATGGTCAGAATTTAAGGGGTCAGAAAGCAATTTTCCTTCAGGTCAGATTGGGCTCTTGGGTTTTGTTTTTTGTGTGTGCCTTCCTCTGCAGCATGGAGGTGCTTGCTAGATCATCTGGGTATCTCACCAAATCAGTTCCCTGCCATTGCAGGGACCTTGGGCACTGTGCACCTTGGCCCCTCCTGTCCTTTGCCTATGTCACAGAATAATTCAGTTTCCTGAGTGGTGTAATACTTCAATCTAATCCGGGTTATTGGGCTCAATACTGGAGAAACTGGGTGGGGTTTAGAGGCCTATGATGAGCAGGAGATCAGACTAGATGATGTGGTGGTCTCTTCTGGTCTTAAACTCTATGACTCTGAAATGGGTGGATTCTTTGGACCTTCGTATGATCCCTGGCCTTATATGATGATTCGGAATATTGTCATGGAATAATTCTCAGCATGTACAGTCTTCTATCCTTTTTTTTTTTCCCTTCAAATTAATCTGAGTTCTAACAATTATTATGGTATTAGAAGAACTAACAGTTGCAAGCTGTGAGTGTAAAATATGAGGAATGAATTTTTATTTTTCCACTCAACCCAAAACAGCTAAAGATTCAGTGGGGAGGAAAAGCTAATTATTATTCCTACCTTTATATGAAGAGGACTTAACATTGATTGACATTTTCCACATAGTCATTAAATGGTATTAAATAGGTAGCTTTTGTTTTTTAAAAAATTGACTAACCGTGGACTGCTGACACTATTGTCTTCAATTAAGTGGAAAAGAACCTCATGAAATAAAGGGTTTTTCCCCTCTTCCCCCCCCCCCAACTGAACAAACAAACAAAAGAAGAGCGAACAAAAAGAAACAATCCATAAAATCCTAAAAGCTAACAAAATCTGTTTGGCAAGACATGGTCAAGAACTTGTCTGGCTTTATACAGCATGAAGTGGAATAAAAGCTTATCTTTCTCACCCTACTCTTAGGGAAACATGTTTTCAAAAGCTTATTCCCTAGTTTTGCTCTACTAGTCTTAGGAATGTTGGGAGTCCTTGTGTAGATAGAGCTACTGCAGCTGCAACCATTTGAAGCACCATGTTGGTTAGACTACATTAACTCTTTTACTTGTATTACAGTAGCACCTTGAGACCAACCAACTATTGTACAAATATTAGCATAAGAGACAGTCCCTGCCACAAACAGCCTAAAATCTAAATAGACCAGATAGAACCAGTGGTTCTCAGCCAGGGGTATGCAGAGGTCTTCCAGGTGGTACATAAACTCATCTAGATATTTGGCTAGTTTTACAACAGGCTACATAAAAAGCACTAGCAAAGTCAGTACAATGTAAAATTTCATACAGACAAAATGAGAAAGTAATAATTTTTCAGTAATAGTGTGCTGTGACACTGTTCTATTTTTATGTCTGATTTTGTAAGCAAGTAGTTTAAGTGAGGTGAAATTTGGGGGCACGCAAGACAAATCAGACTCGTGAAAGGGGTACAGTTGTCTGGAAAGGTTGAGAACCACTGCAATAGACTAAATGAGGAGCGGGAAGGAATATAACACACATGCAGAGGGAAAGGAAGGGGTGAGCATTGGAGTGAGGGTGGCAAAGGGTCATAGGAGAAGGGAAAGACGAAGGGTGTGAGCATAGAAGGCAGTGGAGTAAGGCTGAAGTGAAGAGACTGTGTATGAAGGTCTAGAAGGGAGTTGGAGTAAATGGCCATTTATCACAGAGGAGAGAAAAAATTGAGCAAAGACTCGACAACATTAGCGTCCTAACTGTGCCAGGTGCAACCCATTTACTTCTGCTGGCTTGAGTCTCTGGTTGGCTCTGGGGGAAGCATGGCACTTCACGTGCCCTGGTACCTTTGGAGAAGGGGTTTTCTCCAGCATCCCTGGACTGAGAAATGTGTCACAGGAGAGGGTTATTCTGCCTGCGCCTCTTCTCCCTTGTGATGCATCTGTATGTGCTGCAACTGCTTCTGTTAAGTTGTGTTTTTAAACACTGGAGATGTGGTAGTCCTGTCTAGCCAGGGTTCCCAACATTGCTAATGTTAGTGGGACTAAATCAGTGTTAGTAAAATGATGGGAAATGGAACATATTTCCTAATGTACGCAAGTCAAAGGTATCCCTCTGCCATCTGGAGAAAAGTAGTGAGGATGGGGGAAGTATGAGTGAATGCAATGAAAAAAACCATTGTAATGCATATATTCAAGGAGGCCGGGTTAAAGTTACTGTGGAGACTTTAACTCTGAATTTCCTGACTCTTTTGTGATTCAAATTTCAGCCATAACACTTAATTAACAGATAATTGCTTTATCATTTCCTTTAAGGAAAGAGAGAATTGGTTGAGAGGATAGAAAAAATGGTAGATATTAGAGAATTGTTTAGAGAGAAAACAAAACAAAGAACCCCCTACACACACAAACTCTCTAAAAGGAAGGATTTTGAAAACAAAGCCATTTGAGTTCTCCAAAAGTAAAAACAACTATACTGAAGCACAGAAACGTGTTTTCCCCCTACTTTTGATAAACTATTTTTGGCTGGAACAGTAGGGGGAAACACTGTGCTTCAGTATAGTTGTTTTTAGAATAATTGTTGTTTTCAGAATAATTCATGTGGTATAAGAGTAAGTATAAGAAACTTTAGCCCATCCGCTAATTTACAGAAAGCAACTGAAAATAAGGGTTTACAATGAAAGTGCCATCTCAGTATTAACTACACCATCCCTATCGCTGTTATCATACTAGGATGAAGGTACAATACAAAAGGAACCATTTAGCTAACTTCTTGAGATGTAAGCAGTTTAATTATATTGTACAAGTCTATGAACTGTAGAATTTCCTGTAACTTTCTTGGGCTAGGGAAACTTCTTGACCTGCCTGACAGGTCTGCTAGACTTCCAACTATTTTCTCATATGTACTGTTGCTACAGTGAAAAAGAATTCCTTGTGCTGTAGTCATTGGGTTCCATTCATGGTTTAAAAATAAATTTAGCATGGGTAACTTAGTCCAGTCCGCTACACTAGTGTAAGACTGTACCTTGTGCTTTTTGTGTATTTCAGGTTCCGTTTGAACATTCACTAACAATATAGCCAGATGGGACTCCCTTTGGTCTTCAAGTTAAACTTGTCATTAGAAGTCCTATATTTGAGGAATCCAAAAGAATTTTTTCGATGTAGGTGTTTTTAAAAAAAAGAAGGTTCTGCAGTTTTTGTCTCGGTGTAGAATGATGGAACAATAGAGAATAGTAGTTTTCCACTTGCCAGGAAAAAAATATTTTTAATCAAGGCTGGTGTATATGCAATACATACATTTCATAGGCACAATTCTCCTTCAGCCTTTCTTTCTTTGCTCTAGAGAGATGCTTTCTTTTTTCCTCTTTAAACTTCCATTTGACAAAGAAGGAAGAGTAAGAAGGTGAAATAATGGTAGGAAATCCTGAACAGAACTAGAAATGAATGCTTGTACAGCAGATCTCACTAACAGCTCCCAGGTCCAAACACCACTGGGGAAACAAAACGGAGAGTTTGAAGTAATCCCTGTTGTGTTTCATGGCTTTATGTTCTTTTTGAAGAAGTGGTTTCTTTCAGCAAAGAGGGAGCAAGTTGTCCTATTTTTACAGGTCAATGCTATGCTCTGACTGCAAATCTCAATTCCTGCCTCTTAGCTAGGAAGTATCCTTACTATTTCTAATCACATCAAAGAAGAAGCTGTGGAAAAGATGTTAGCCTAACTCCAGATAATTATGGATAATTTGATCAGCTGTCAAATTTTGTATTGTGGGCTGAGCTCCAACATCTCTATGGTCTAATATTTAGGCAGTAGAGATGAAATTAGACCCTAGAATTTATGCTGAGTCTTTTCCTTTTGGCGTTCATTGTCACAGTTTGGCCCTTGAATCTCCCAGAAGAGGTAGTAGCTATTCTAACTCAAAAAAGAAATATTGATATTTCCTGCTGTATTTCTGCCTACAGAAGGAGTTTTCAACCTTTTTCTTTCTGAGGCCTCCCAACATGCTATAAAAATTCCACAGCCCACTTGTGCCACAACAGTGTTTCTGCATATCCAGTAGACTGAAAGCTAGGGCTGGTGTTAGGGGGTAGCAAGCAGGGCAGTTACCCAGGGCCCCACACCCCAGGAGGTCCTGAGACGCAAACTTACTCAGGCTTCGTCTTTCAGCCTTGGGCCCCAACGAGTCTGTTCTCTGGTTTATTTTGGCGGACCCCTGAAACCTGCTTGCAGCCCCCCAGGAGGCCCCGAACCCCTGGTTGAGAATCGCTGGCCTAGAGGAACAGGGATTAGTGTCTTTCTCCCACTATTTACCATTGATTCCCAAGAAAACATGGAGATTGTGGCCCACACTGGATTTGTTGAGTCATTAGGTCTTTTCAGAGTGTACATCCTTTGTCAAACTTTGTGGCTAGAGGACTTCATAAAAAATATGTAAAATATGGGTCTTGTTAAGGCCTTTTCACATGCAGTTTTTTGTACTCCTCCATTCGGAGTTTTCCAGATTCAGATGCTGTTTGGATTTAGGTTTGGCCACTTGTGTGCACCAAACTCCTGGAGGTTCTGTTGGCCAGTCTTTGTCTGAGGAATATGCATCCAGATTTACCTGGATGACTGCCTGATCAGGGCAGGGATTAGATAGTCCATTTCCTCAAATATAACGGCTTTTTTGTGAACTGTGAAATCCCTTCTGGATAGGACTCAAGTTACTCCACCTTGGAATAGTGTTAGACACTCCATTAGGGAAAGTCAGATGTTGCCACATGGACTGTAGTCTGTTGGGGCTTGTTTTTGGTAGTGCTGGTCAGTTGGGACTTTGCAATTTACATCAATTGAACCCTGGGTGACACTGCCCCAGAGACACTCCTCATGCAGATGCCTGCTGTTTTGTCAGAAAAAACACTCCACACTCTCTGAAAGGTATCTTACTCTTCTGCAGTGAGTGTGTTATTGGGAGGATAATCCAGGGGGCAAGAACCTTTGGTTCTCTGACTTGAGAAGTTTAGATTGCATAATGACCAATGTCAGCTTTCTGAGATGGAGAGCCAGTCTGTGGATTCTTTACAAGCTCAGTTGGAAAGTTTCATTCAGCTTACTACAATTTGAAGAAACTTCTCTGGAGAAGTCACCTTGTTCTGGTAATGTATAGAAAGATGATGGTGCCTATATACTCATGATATCACTACGAGTATGCAGTTCCAAGAGGAAGCCAGTCTTCTGCCAATGTGTAGAAGCTTGTTCCCCCCCTTCAGGACTTATCTATCTGCTATGGCAAGTTAATTTAAATGTTGATTTGTTTAGCAGGAGTGAGTGGTTCCTGCAGAAAACCGTATGAATTTGTGTTTGTTTTTTTTCCCTGAAAGGAAATAATTACTGATTTTTGTCACTGGGATGTCACCAAAGATGAACACCCGAGTTTTGCTTCTGATGGTTCAGTTCCTTCATAGGTTGGGGAGTGGAAGCTTAACTACTGTCCTTTGTAACCTGAAGATTTCATAAAATTTGGCCGCAAAGTTGCAACAAGAAAATGCCCCTTCTTTGAGCATTCTAATCTCAAGATCATCAACACCTATGCTTCTAAGATGCTAAATAGAGGCCTTCTGTAAAATTAAATACTTATTGTAATAAATTTGATTCTGCCAATAATATATCTGAATGTGCTTTCTACCTTTCCCAACTGAAAATAAAGATTTAAATATATTTTTTAATAGTCTGAAGAGGAGATTCCAAGATTGCCTGGATTTTATAGTTCCTCTGAGACCCTGAGTAATACTGCAATGTATTTCACTTATCTTTCAGTGGTTTTCGTTGTAACTGAATCCTACTTTGGAAAAAGAAGTTTTACTCACTGGATGGCAAATATGTCCTTGAATTTTGTTAGGCCTGGACTAAGGAATTTAGTACACCTAATGAGTATGGGCTCATCTTGTTTTCAAACCTCCATGAGAACCTCAAATCCATTATGGCAAAATATTTGGCTTGCTGCCTTTGCTCCCTTCCAGAACAAGTTAAGAGGGTATTTGTTAGATTCTCTCTGCTTAGACTGAAGGGGCTGAAACATGGTCCCTTGGTGCCTGTAATGTGTCAGTATAGTCTCATTTTCCATTCTAACAAGGTTCTGTTCTGCAAGTTTGTGTTTGAGTTTAAAAACTGCAGTATGATGAGCCTGCCTCTTTTTTGGATGCTGGTTGCTCTGTCTGCCCTGTATACTGGACAGTAGTTGTAGGATGGAGTAGAAGAGAAGTGTAACAAGACAGAATTTCATACTTTGTAATTGTTTGTTTTATCTTCCTCTTCTCCCACTTTACTGCCATCTTTGTCCCTTACATTGTGTTTTTTTCTTTTATACTCTAAATGTTTCTTGATTGTGTGTAGGTGGGTAGTGACGAGAATATTAACATTATATAACATATCCTTACCTTAATTGAATCTTCTTTGCTTCCTGGGTTATAATTGTAAAATGGGGATGGGATGGGGGAGGGGGAAACTACAGCAATCTCAGATATTTAGAAGTGATTTTAGTTTTCCCTCCATGTTCCTTGTAAACAATTCATGGGTTACTATCTACCTCATAGCTTAGTGGTAGAGAGAAGCAAATTATTTAAATGATGATGTTAGTGAGGACTGTCATTATTTTAATTTATGTTCTGTTTGTGATCTGCCCCCAAAATGGCAACATCTAAGTCGCTATGCAAATTTGGAGCAGCATGATGGTAGATCTTCAGATTTCTATTGTCCAAGTAAATATCATCTTATGAAGTCTAACCAAAGAAAAATACAGATATAGAGATTTATAATGGAAGTGATGATATAGGTTAACTGCAGGGCATGTCAGTAGTGCTACAATAACACTTGGTCAGATTTACAACCCTTAATCATGTACATAGCATTTATTCACACAACACTGACTTCAAATGGGCTACTTCCACAATTAAGTGCTGAATGCATAATTAAGGACCACAGAATCTGGCTCTGTAAACAATGTGGCATTAACTAATTTATTGTCATTCAGCTAAGAGTAAACAGAAAGATTAGAAAAACATTCAATATCAACATAAATTAAAACTATTATTATAGCCTTATTTTAAGTTTTCATTTAGAATATCTTCAGTGTGTTCTGATACCATTTAACTATACACTGATAAATATATAGCGATTGTATTGTTGTTTTTTCTAGCATCACTTTTTGGAAATTAAATGTATAAGTCTGGGATGCTTTCTCATTTAATGTTTGAATATTTAAGTATGGCAGGATTAGGTCCTATGTCCCTGATCCTACAAAGATTTACTCACTAGATTTACTCACTATTCATGCAGGTGAGTAGTCCCACTGACTCCAATGGGGTTATTCATATGAGTACAGTTAGTAACATAAGCCATTGCAGGATTGAGGTTTAGTTGCATAGCTCCTATTAGTGCTGATGGCTACAAATGTAAATACTCCCTGCATGGCTAAGTTTTGTTCTCTTAGCCTTTGATTAAAGGTAGACTTTTAAATTTGACTTTTAAAAAGTTGTTGATACACATCCATATATTAATTGTTTGCCTTGAAAGGATCCTTTGTTGCTTAAAACTATCTAAGATCAATTAAGGTATGTGGTGGTGTTCTTTTTTTATTATAGGTATAACAGCAGTCATTTGTACTTACCCTCTTGATATGGTAAGAGCACGTCTGGCATTCCAAGTAAAAGGGGAGCACAAGTACACAGGAATTATTCATGCATTCAAGACTATTTATACAAAGGTATTTCATTTTCTCCTTCCATATTTGTTAAAGAAAAATGTGTTGTTTATATTTTTTTTAATGCTGTGCAACACTATTTAATGACCTGATGGAAACTAATGTGAATTTGTCTTCGACTGTGTGTGTAGCACACTCTCATTTTACAAAAGGGTCTGGATGCTCCCCTTTTACTCAAGCTGGTGGAGGGCGGCTCAAGCTGGTGTAAATGGCAGAGGACAACAAATTGGGACTAAGAGTGGATTAGCAGTGGTATATACTCCTGAGGTTTTTGCCTCCGAGAATAATATTTATAACAGGGGGAGGAAAGCAAACATACTTATTTGTGTGTATTGGAAATCATCTCCCTACTTTGTGATCTTGGGTGTAGGAACATCCTGCCTTCTCCGCTCTGTCTCCTAAGCAGCCAATTTATAGTACCTCCTCTCAGCATCTGAGGAAGAGGAAGATGAGGTTAATATTAATACCTCATTGCCTGGCTAGCAGTGTCATACAAACGACTTGTTATCAGTACAGTCAGTTCCATAATAATCTAACTATTTATAATTTTATTTGTCAAGAATTTGTTTGTATTTTTATTTTTCCTTCAAAAGGAAGGAGGTTTCATTGGATTTTACAGAGGACTGATGCCTACAGTTGTAGGAATGGCTCCTTATGCAGGTAAGTTAAAAATATTGTTGCCAGCATTCTACACGCATCTCAGTTGTATTTGCAAAATTTGTATTAGCTTCTGTTAAACTGAAGGGCTAAATTTCTGCTTGGACAGAATGGAAAGGGCAAACTGCAGGGAGTCATTTGCAGCTTCCTGATGTTATGGTAGATCAGCTTATGATGATGATCAGTGCAAGTTAGAATAGCTGCTGTAACTTATACCACTAGTGAAAATCCCTAAGTGACCTTTCTGAGATGTGAGGGGCCAGTGACTGGGTTCTCTCTCCCTCCCCACCCCTAAAACTTCTCCGATGGAAAAAGGTGTAGGACCTGTTCCTAAACCTGGCCAATCTGGCTGCAGTTGCTGTGTGAAAGGCCCACACAAACTAAGGAGACTATAAAGGGGAAACAATGAAACTGACTCTCTGTTCTCGAATGAAGTAAATAAACTGAAAAGATAAGAGATTTTTTTGTCTAATTGAAAGAAATTATATTAATCTTACGTGTTACTTGTAACTATAACATGTTAAATTAAGGTTTCAGAGTAGCAGCCGTGTTAGTCTGTATCCGCAAAAAGAACAGGAGTACTTGTGGCACCTTAGAGACTAACAAATTTATTTGAGCATAAGCTTTCGTGGGCTACTGTGTCTTCAACTGTGTGTGTAGCACACTCTCATTAGAGACAAATGTCTCCAAGGTGCCACAAGTACTCCTGTTCTTTATGTTAAATTAAAAATCACTTTTTTCAAAGTGTTTTAAGATTGTTGGTTAGAAGTTACAAGACAATTGCCAAGTATTATTGTATGCACACTTCCATTGCATGTATAGTACAAAAACTAATTCTTAAAATTAATGCCACACTTTTTTCCAGTGTCTTCTCAACACGTTGCAAATTACAACAAGCTGACTCCTAGACCACACTTAGGTTTGCTATTGGATAAACATGTAATATTTGTATTGATTTATGTAATGTATGTAACTTTCCTCTCTTTCACAGTATTTAATAAAAACCTCGTAAAGAATCAGGAATTAAATAATTCAGTGTGTGATTACTGTCTTATGTTACAAAGATTATGCGTATCAGTAAGAAACTTGCTGTTTCTTAAAGTCTACATAAAATTACATTTTTCTCTTTCAGGTTTTTCGTTTTTTACCTTTAGTACCTTAAAGAGCATTGGACTTGCCCAAGCACCTAACCTGCTTGGAAGGCCTTCATTAGATAATCCTGAAGTCTTAGTTTTGAAAACGCATGTAAGCTTGCTATATGGTGGCATGGCTGGAGCAATAGCACAGACAATCTCGTAAGTTTTGGTGGGGTTTGTGTTTGTTTGTTTTAGGGGGGTTTAGCTGCAATTTCTTATTGAAGAAATTATATGCTATCTTGGATTAAGAATTTTTCTTAGATGTAATATTTCAGAGTTAAGCTTTGTTTAGCTGATAGCCAGAAACTAGAATGCACTGACTTCATGGTACTTCACTTTCTAAATGTGTTTTAATTTTGAAGATCTTTAAAAGTATATGTATCAGACCAAATCCTGCTGTCTTTATTCTGACAAATTTCCACTAAGGTAAATTAGAAGCTTACCTAGAGTTGGAGTTGTTTTATACCAATTCATTTTAAAACAAAATCATAGCTACAAATATATATTTGTTACTGTATTTGGCATAGTTTATTTTTATTTCCCCTTCCTTCTCTACTCACTGCCTTTGTCAGATTTTCTCCATGGCCCAGAAGCAGGTGAATTGGTTGGATTTATTTATTTGGCATTTAGTTTTTTCTAAACTAGTTACTTACAAATGTCACACATGCATTTCTGTTGATCTTTTAAAGGTGAGTTTTATTTTTAATGCCATTGTCTTCCCCCCCTACATTCTGTTTTACACAAACTGTTTTATGCTCTGTCTGATCTTCATGTATCTTCTTTACTTGTGCCTAATGGAATATATTAAGATATCTGATTCACTGTTTTTAGTTGTGATGGGGGAAGTCTCCCTTCTTGGAGAACTTTCAGCTGTATTGGGCACTGAGTTTGATCCTTCACTCACTGTAAAGGGAACTATGAGATTTCAAATGGAATTTTCTTTATATATTTGTCATGCAAGTAGTTAAAATGCTTTTAAAAAAGCCCCAACTCTCTTCTTTAGATATCCACTTGATGTAACTCGTAGGCGAATGCAGTTAGGAGCAGCTCTTCCAGATGCTGACAAGTGCCTGTAAGCATTTTATTTTAACATCCTTTTCAACTGTAGTAGCTGAATTCTTAAATGTATAAGTAAACCTCTTAGTTTAAAACTAATACATGATCTACTGTGCTATAGATTCCTTCATATTTTCGACTTGCGGAGATGGTAATACGTTTCTATGCTCTTAACTGAGAGGGAAACTGTTTTTTTCTTTATTGTGATCTCTTTTAAAAATCACAGAAATGAATTCTGCTAATATGAGATCTTTATTGTTGAAGTTCTTTGTGTTAGGCTTCAATTTACTACAGCTTCACTTGGCATAAATAGGCTCCAAGGGCCTAATCCTGCTTCTGTTGAATCTCAGGGCAGGTCTATGCTATAGCCGGGATCAATACTCTGAGATCGATCCACCGGCAGTTGACTTAGCGGGTCTACAAAAGACCCGCTAAATCAACTGCAGATCGCTCTCCAGCCTACCCCGACGAGAAGAGTAAGGTAAGTCAATGGGAGATTTTCTCATGTAGACCCCGCGGTAACTTGACCTAAGGTACGCCGACTCCAGCTACGTTGTTCATGTAGCTGGAGTTGGTAGCGTAGGTCAACTTACCGCGGTAGTGTAGACATAGCCCTAGAATCATAGGACTAGAAGGGATCTCGAGGGGTCTTGTAGTACAGTCCCTGGCACTCAAGGCAGGAGTGCAGGGGACCATTGTGTCACCAACTTCCATTGTCTTAAATGGTGCAGGATCAGGCCCCAATGTGAATGATTATTTTTTTCTTGTTTACTTTCATTTTCTTGTAACCACAGTACTGATTCACAATGCAGTTATAGTTGGACACTGAAGGTATATCTACACAGCAATTTAGGCCTAGGGCTGAGCCTGGGCTCAAGCCAAACCCCCTTTGCATTCACACTGAAAATGTGCTGAGCCCATGTTAAACTGTGACCTAGACCCTATTGCTTTCATGTGTGCATGAGGCCCTGACTTGACTCCAGTCCCAGAAGTCCTTCGGATGGGAGTCCCAGAGGAGCAGCGCTGCATGTAGTCCGCAAAGTGACCAGAAGTACCATTACTGCTTGGGAGCATGCTTCCTGTTCCTGCTCCTCTCGCTGCCACGGTTCTGGCTCGTCCTCGCTGCTGTGCAGAGTTTTCCTGGAGCGGGGAGCAAAGGCGCCAGGCAGGAGGCGGCTACGAGCCATCAGCATGTTGGGGGTCGTTCCTCCTCCGGCCATGCTGAGCCAAGAGCTCTGCCTCCCTTCAAGGCAGCCACTTGGTCCCTGCTCCACTCTCTGGCCCTTGCTCTCGGCCTCCCCTGCTCTCCCTGATGCTGCACGTGCACTGGCATTTGGGCAGTGTGCTCTGTAAGGGTAGCCAGTGGGAGTGAGCCCCAAAACTTCATGGCAGCCTCCCAAGCATCCCTTATCCCAGCCTCTCCATGTGCATGAGGGACAGTGAGAAGGGATCCTCAGGACATTGGCCTTGACTGAAGTTAAAAAAGGAACATATCTGAAATGAGAAAAAGGAATTGAAAACATGTTGGCATTGTGCCAGGTTGGTAGCAACATCCGGTTGGCATTCTGATGCTTCATTGGCAGCTAATCCTGCTCTGAGCTGGATTAATTTTCAGGTTTAAAATATAGTTGCCATAGTCCACACAGAGCCAGGATTTTGGCACTTGTGAAGCAGAAAGGAGGAGGAGGACTAGGAAATGGGGTGAGTGATTCAGTTATATAACTTTTCCATTCCCAGTTGAGTCACTGAGGCTTTGATACTGTATTAAAGAAAACAATAAAAACACACCAGCTTTTATATCCACGCTAAATTTCTATTTAATGCATTTGAACCAATCCTCTCCCAGCCCCCAAACACTTGGGCCAAGTTATAAGAAGTAGGACTATTGGACAGCAAAAAGTAAAGAATGCTATTTAGAGAAATGCAAGATTTTCTTTAGCCTAGGAGAGTGAGCTATCAGAGATGGTTCCAACCCCGTAAAGATAATACGTAGGATCAAATCCTGCTTGTCTTATTCGTGTGGATATTCCTGTTGAAGGAAATAAGACTTATATCTGAGCAAGGACTGAAACCAGGACTTCAGTATTTGACCCTATAAAACAAAGGATCCCCGAGGGGTGCTGCAGCAGATTGCACCCCAAGGCCTGGGGATGCACTTCACCCTTCTGCAGCCAGCAGCCCCCAGGTGAGTGGGGTGAGTGTGTGTTTTTTCCTCTGAAACCTACATTTTCTGTCAAACGTCAAAACAAACAAAAGTATTCTTCATTGAACATTCTATTCTAAAAATTAAGTATTGCAAAGTTTTATTTCAATAGTTTAGTAACTCTAGAGGCTGACGTTCTAGTTATCCTCAGAACCTTTTCCCACCAATGTGAATCAGCCTAAAGGTGAAGAGCACAGTTCTCAGGTGCCGTCTCAAACTGCATTTTTTTTTCTACTGAAACAACCACCAAACGAGCTAATTATGCAGTTTATGTACTCGTGTGCTCCTTATGGGCTCCTGAGTCACAACAATAGCACCTCCACAGTTAGGAAACTGGGAGCAGTAGAGATTTCCCACAGTGCACTATGTTCCTAGAGCTAGAGTGTTGACATCGAGGGGAGAGGGGCACTAGGCATTTTAGGATATGTTTACTTTGACTCAGGTCTGTGCACTGCAGTATGGACGCCAGCACCCTAGATTTGAGCATGGGTCAGAAAATTCTTAACCTAGGGTTAAAATGCAATGTAGATGCTCAAGTCCAGGGTTCTCTGACGCAGGTCAGCTGATTTGAGTTCCACGAACCCTAGGCTTACATTGCTGTGTAAACAGTCTAAGATCAAATATCTCAGGCTCTTCCATAGTGCACTTTGGTAACACTAAGTGAAAACTCCATAATAGAACATTGTTCAAATCTTATTAAAGTCACACTTTTACCAAGAACTAGCATTAATTTGCATGGAACAAATGGAAGTTGAAATCCATTAATTTTCTATTCAGTTATATAAACATCAATCTTTTTAGTTCTTTTTATATAAAAGGTCTGAATACTGGTTTTGGTGATCTCTTGCTTCTTGGTCTTGCAGGAACTAACCATTCTAAAGACACTAGGTCTTACACTCAGTATCCCTACTAAGTTGGTATTTTGGAGGAGTCCATATCTCTGACTCCCAGGATGGATGGACAGTGGTCATAATGTTGGTATTTGAGCATGGGGGAAAAAGAGGAAGTAAAAGACCTCAAGTTTGGAGGATTATGGGAGATGTGTTCAGGGAATAATTTCTTTGGTAGCCCGTGAATGCTGAGCCATCTTGCAGATCTCTACGACAATACTTACTTTTTTTGGTCCCTATATTTTACCCTCTGTTGATAATTACTAGTTTCTTCACTTCTGTAAGAACTCCAGTTATTAGGAAGAGACAGGTATTAGCAATGGGTGATTCGATCATTAGAAACCTAGATAGCTGGGTTTGTGACGATCGGGAGAACCGCACGGTGACTTGCCTGCCTGGTGCGAAGGTTGCGGATCTCTCGAGATATCTAGATAGGCTTATGTGTAGTGCTGGGGAGGAGCTGGTGGTCGTGGTACATGTAGGTACCAGCGACATGTGGAAGGATAGGCGAGAGGTCATGGAGGCCAAATTTAGGCTGCTAGGTAAGAGATTGAAGTCCAGGACCTCCATGGTAGCATTTTCTGAAATGCATCCAGTTCCACGCGCAGGGCCAGTTAGACAGGCAGAACTGCAGGGTCTCAATGCGTGGATGAGACGATGGTGTAGGGAGGAGGGGTTTAGTTTTATTAGGAACTGGGGAAGCTTTTGGGAGAGGGGGAGCCTATACAGGAAGGATGGGCTCCACCTAAACCAAAACGGAACCAGATAAAAAGGTCGTAGAACAGTTTTTAAACTAAGGGCTGGGGTAAAACCGACAGGTGCAGAGGAACATGTGGTTCGGACATCCCTTAGGGGAGGATCTATAAATGGAGATTCCCTATGTCCTAATAAGTAAGAGAGGATGGAAAATGATAAAATATAGGGAGGATCTGATGAGAAACAGTCAAATGAAAAAAAGTCCCATTCAATTACGTCATGCAATAGGGCACAGCCAAAAAATGACAAGTTTTTAAAATGCTTATATACCAGTGCTAGAAGTCTAAATAGTAAGATGGGTGAACTAGAGTGTCAAGTATTGGTATAATAGGCATCACACAACCTGGTGGAATGAGGATAATCAATAGGACACAGTAATACCAGGGTACAAAATATATCGGAAGGACAGAACAGGTTGTGCTGTGGTGAAGTGGCACTATATGTGAAAGAAAGCGTAGAATCAAATTAAGTAAAAAACTTAAATGAACTAAATTGTACTATAGAATCTCTATGGATAGTAATTCCATGCTTGAAAAACAAGAATATAGCAGTAGGGCTATATTACAGACCACTTGACCAGGATGATGTTAATGACTCTGAAATGCTCAGGGAGATTAGAGAGGCTATTAAAATAAAAAAAACCCTCAATAATAATAATGAGGGATTTCAACTATCCCCATATTGACTGAGTACATATCACCTCAGGAAGGGATGCTGAGATAAAGTTTCTTGACACCTTAAATGACTGCTTCTTGGATCAGCTAGTCCTGGAACCCACAAGAGGAGAGGCAATTCTTGATTTAGTCCTATATGGAGCACAGGATCAGGTTCAATAGATGAATATAGCTGGACTGCTTGGTAATAGTGACCATAATATAATTAAATTTAACCTCCCTGTGTCGGGGAAAACTCCACAGCGGCCCAACACTATAGCATTTGATGGACCTTTGGTCTGACCCAGTAGGCTGTTCTTATGTTATGTTCAGAAAGAGGAAAAACAGTTATCTGCAGATCTAATTGCATATACTGCTTCACTTATCAGTTAAAACAGGCTATTTATAAAAATTGTGCAGCTAGTACTCTTTTCAGAGATAAAGTTTGGAAATTCATCTTAGTGCAGAGTCTGAAATACAGAATGTGTTCCAAAACTTGAGCCTTAAAGAGAAG